ACTTTATTTATTAAAATGCAATTTATTTATTAAAAATTCTACTTTTTAAAATATATGATACATTCATATAAAACATACAAACAAATGATACAATATGATACGTGATTAATTATAGTTATGTTGTATATCAGAATGTTTTATATAAATGCTTATTACATTTTATTGTGATTTTTATCTTTTATGCCCAGTTAGCAATGTATTTTGTGTAGTAATGACTACTAATCTCAGACATCTATGACATCAAGGGTAGGATAAGCTCACAAAACTGTATGAAATTCTGAATGGTATTTTTTTTAGTGTTACATTATATTTTATAAAAAAAATCAGTCCTGATTTGCAAAAAAGGTTGATCTCTGGAATTGCATTTATTTATAACCAATTGCTTTTACTCTTCAGTAATGTCATACTTTAATTACTTTAACTACTTTAATTACTTTAATTACTTTAATTAGAATATCACACTATGAAAACCCGTATAAAATGTACAACTAAGAGAAACAAATAATTTTTTAATGCAACCAATTATATTCCATTTGTTTTTTTATTTTAGAAGAACTTTCTTGCTTCGGTTGGAGGAGAAGATTACAAACAATTTACAACGGCAATCTTAAAACAGCTAATGGCCAAAGAAGTATGTTTTTTGGCCAAAAAATGTTTAATGGCTAAAAAACTATTTTTTTTTAATAATGGTTTTTCAAATATTTAAAAAAACTTTTCTCTTTTTATATATATTTTCAAAACATTTGTCTACCCCTAATAGTGAGTCTAAAGAACACCATTTTGAAGCCTATATATCACTTTCGCTTATTGGCGTAAACATGAACTTAGTGATAATCTTTTGAAAAAGTGCCTTAATCCACTACTGATCCTACTAACTATATATAGTTGTCAAAATACAATATTTCTATCAATTTTCACAATAAATACTAGAATTCTGACCGGGAAAGAGCTTATACTTAAGAAAAAATGCCAATAAACAGTTAGAACATATCATATTATTGAACTATGTTCATTTCACCAAAAAAATGTATTTTTTAAAAATCTTATTGAAATTTAGACAAACAATTGTGATTTCAATAAGATTTTTATTTTTACAAAAGAACTCCAAGCCTGGGTTTTCTCGCTACAAGCATTTAAATTTTATGTAAGTGCAAAATTTATCATTTTAATTTTTTTTGTCTTTTCATAATTCACAGACCTGATCATTAAACGGAAAAATGTAGTAGTCAACAAAACTTTATACAGTTGCTATAATATTTAAAAATTGCCTTAACTACACCGAGTAATTGATGTCTTTCAAAAAATAATATAATAGGGGAGAGTGGGGTAATGACGAACAGCTAAGCGGGAATGCAAATTAAAGACAATTATTACTATATATTAATGATATTTTTTGCTTATTATTTAGTCTAATCATTTGGTTAGAATCACTTAAAAGCAGTTTTCATATATCTTATTAAAAAATAAAAAATTCGATTAAAAACAAAACCTTCGGTGTTCGGAATTACCCTACGTACGTGGGGTAATTCCGAACATACCGTGGGGTAATTGCGAACATTATTGGCTAACAGCGAATAAAATGTTGATCAAAGCAAATCAAACTTGATTAAAGCGTTAAAATATTATTGAATAAAATTTTAATTAAATCAAACGTTAAAGAAACAAATATTAATAAATTTTATTCAAACCAAATAAAATGTTACATGAATGAAATGTAAGGTGACCTGGATACTTTCTGATACTATAGTATCAGAAAGTATGTGTGTGTACTTTTATCTTCTGTATACAGAAGCTAAATGTACGAATTGAATACAAAATTACATAAGTGTTTTTTACTAATTGATTAATGTTCTGTTCTTTATACGCATTTGAGAGCATATATATATATATATAATATATATATATATATATATATATATATATATATATATATATATATATATATATATATATATATATATATAATTTATATATATATATATATATATATATATATATATATATATATATATATATATAATTTATATATATATATATATATATATATATAGATATATATACATAAATATATATATATATATATACACATATATATATATAAATGTATATATATATATATATATATATATATATATATATATATATATATGTATATATATATATATATATATATATATATATATATATATATATATATATATATATATACATATATATATTTATATATACAGGGCCGGCGCGACTAGGTGTCACGTGGGGGGGTGCCATTACAACTTTTGCCGACTACAAAAAAAAAAAAAAAAAAAAAGGTCCTCGTTTTCCAAAAAAACTTTATATTTTTGACTATTACTATTATTTACAAAATTAAATATAACATATTTGGAAAATTCGAATCTAGACTCCTAAAAAATCCAACTCCTTCTTCTAACAACTATCTTAATGGGCTAAGTACAAGTGTCAACTGAATATCATGTTGGAGAGGCAGTATTGTATATCAATAAAAATTTGCATATAAACCAAGAAATAATCTGACTATAAAAAAAGCAAAAGAACTAGAATCCATTTTTATTGAAATAGTAAAAACAAAAAAATCTAATATCATCATTGGCTGTGTATTCAGGCATCCAACCATGTCGTTGTATGACTTTAACTCATTCAATCCTTAACTAATAATACTATATAAAGATAATAAAACTAATATTTATCCTCGGAGACTTAACTTTATAACTTTTTAAAATTTTATTGTAAAAATCAGTCTTGATCTGTATTAAATTTGACCAATGGAGTTCCATCTATTAGTAACCAAACACTTTTACTCTCTCATAATGTCATATTTTAATAAATCACATTATGGAAACCCGTCTAAAATATACACATGAGTGGAATAATTAAACTTATATGATAATCAACTAAATTACATTTTTATTTTTTTTTATTTTAGATGAACTTTCGTAAATTAGACGGAAAAGATGGTTACAATCTTAATACAGCTAATGGCTAAAAGAGTACGTTTGTTATAGTCAATGTATGGAAGGAAACAAAGGTTGTTATAAGTAAAGCACAATTTTTGTATTCTACATCCCATTTCTTTTGAATAAACAAATATTCTAGTAAAAGCTATTTATTTTACAATAATAGTACGTGAAATACGTTGTATTTGTTCAATTTGAATATGCTACTGAAAAAAGTATTAAATAAAGAACTGGCAGCTTTCTGGTCACAGCCATTGTTAGAGATGATAAAAGAAATTATCGAACCATGATTGAGCAACTCTCAATATTGAGCAATGAAATAAATACCAACAAAATAATGAAAGTCAATGCCCACTATCTGGTAATGAGATTATAATGCAGTAGTTTGTAAATATAAATACATATTTTTTGTGCTTGTATTTAGATGTATTTTATTTTGTTATATTTTGGTTTTGGAACCACAATATATATATATATATATATATATATATATATATATATATATATATATATATATATATATATATATATATATATATATATATATATATATATATATATATATTTTTTTTTTTTTATTATAAGTATGTGTTTCATATAACTTCAAATAAATCTAATGATTTTAATTTTTTTTTTCTTAAACCATTCTATGTCGTCTCCTACGCTAAAACCTGTTTAACTCAAAAGATTAATGTAACCTGGTAATATATTTTTATTTACCCAGCAAAAACTGTAATAAATTTTAATTATTAAAAATTTGTCAAGACATTATTGTTTTTTATTAGTTTTCAATAATAAAAATTGTTAACCAAAAATACTCAATATTGGCTTAATATAATTTACAATATGCTAATATTGTAAAATATATTAAAGTATATTACACCAATATTGGCCAGTATTATATCCCCAAAATTGGCGTGATATTATTTACAATAATGGCTCATTATTGTAAACATTATTGCACTAATATTGCAACGTGAACATTTTGAAAATATTGGCTAATATTGACTTGACATTATTGGTGCAATATTGTACCGCCAATAATGGCAAAATGTTCACATGGCAATATTGCGTTTACAATATTGCGCCAATATTGTAGACAGTATTGCCAATATTGCGCCAATATTGTTTGCTACTTGGGATAATGTTAGCAAAATATGTCAATAAAATAATGATATTTTTAAAATGAAAACAATCTCAAAACACGACGTGTTTAATAAACTTGTAAGAGTCTTAAGTCTCTTTCCGCTTTGTTCGGACTATCTTATTCGTAAAACCAATCTATTAGGATCACAGTCATTTTAGTGTTATTAATTTTTTAAACTATCATACATTTTATTTATATTCTTTTTAATTTAAACAAATAAGATTAGAAGAATTTAATCATATCACTAATGTAAAGTAAATTATTACCGCGAGAGTTTACAAATTTATCAAATAACGTTTTAAACATTCTATATTATAATTCCTATGGGAGTCGTATTCATTGGTTAACCTTTTAAATACAGTGTTAACATATATATATATATATATATATATATATATATATATATATATATATATATATATATATATATATATATATATATATATATATATATATATATATATATACTATATATCTATATATATATATCTATATATATATATATCTATATATATACATATATATATATATATATATATATATATATATATATATATATATATATATATATATATATATATATATATATATATATATATATAGCATTAACAAAACTTTTGATTTTAAAGTACTTTAGACTTTTATAAATTAAGTAATTAATAAAACAATTTTAATACTTTAATTATTTCTGTAAAAAACTATTAGTACTAGTAAAAAACTATTAGTAACTAAATTTGTAGAAACCATAAACTAGTTTTAATTTTTAATCAATAATACATACAAGTTATAACATAAAATGATAAAGTTTATGGACTTTCATTTTCTTATTTAAAAATGCTCTATTCGAATGATAATACAAATGATGAATATATTTATAAAAATTAAAAACGAAGTTCTTCAGCTTTTAAAGAAAAATTTTTGTCAATATAAGGTACACTTTACATATATTAAAATTAAAATAATAATCATATAACTAAACAACTTGTTTGTTTATTCACATTATTCAAACAGATTGCGATATTATTTTTTGTTGTCATTGTATTTGGATGGTTGATACCTAAAATTTCAGTTTGTATTTTATCAACAGAATAATAAATTTCTAAAGCTTCGTTATATTTTCCCATACCGTACAAACAGTTTGCGATATTATTTTTTGTTGACATTGTATCTAAATGGTTGATACCTAAAATTTCAGTTATTATTTTATCAACAGAATAATGAATTTCTAAAGCTTCGTTATATTTTCCCATAGCGCACAAACAATTTGCGATATTATTTTTTGTTGTCATTGTATTTGGATGGTTGATACCTAAAATTTCAGTTTGTATTTTATCAACAGAATAATGAATTTCTAAAGCTTCGTTATATTTTCCCATAGCGTACAAACAGCCTGCGATATTATTTTTTGTTGTCATTGTATCTGAATGGTTGATACCTAAAATTTCAGTTTGTATTTTATCAACAGAATAATGAATTTCTAAAGCTTCGTTATATTTTCCCATAGCGTACAAACAGCCTGCGATATTATTTTTTGTTGTCATTGTATCTGGATGGTTGATACCTAAAATGTCAGTTCGTATTTTATCAACAGAATAATAAATTTCTAAAGCTTCGTTATATTTTCCCATAGCGTACAAACAGTTTGCGATATTATTTTTTGTTGTCATTGTATTTGGATGGTTGATACCTAAAATTTCAGTTTGTATTTTATCGACAGAATAATGAATTTCTAAAGCTTTGTTATATTTTCCCATAGCGTACAAACAGTTTGCGATATTATTTTTTGTTGTCATTGTATCTGGATGGTTGATACCTAAAATTTCAGTTTGTATTTTATCGACAGAATAATGAATTTCTAAAGCTTTGTTATATTTTCCCATAGCGTACAAACAGTTTGCGATATTATTTTTTGTTGTCATTGTATCTGGATGGTTGATACCTAAAATTTCAGTTTGTATTTTATCAACAGAATAATGAATTTCTAAAGCTTCGTTATATTTTCCCATAGCGTACAAACAGTTTGCGATATTATGTTTTGTTCTCATTGTATCTGGATGGTTGATACCTAAAATGTCAGTTCGTATTTTATCAACAGAATAATGAATTTCTAAAGCTTTGTTATATTTTCCCATAGCTTCCAAACAGCCTGCGATATTATTTTTTGTTGACATTGTATTTGGATGGTTGATACCTAAAATTTCAGTTTGTATTTTATCAACAGAATAATGAATTTCTAAAGCTTTGTTATATTTTCCCATAGCGTACAAACAGATTGCGATATTATTTTTTGTTGTCATTGTATCTGGATGGTCGATACCTAAAATTTCAGTTTGTATTTTATCAACAGAATAATGAATTTCTAAAGCTTCGTTATATTTTCCCATAGCGTACAAACAGTTTGCGATATTATGTTTTGTTCTCATTGTATCTGGATGGTTGATACCTAAAATGTCAGTTCGTATTTTATCGACAGAATAATAAATTTCTAAAGCTTCGTTATGTTTTCCCATATTGTCTAAGCAGCTTGCAATATTATGTTTTGTATCAAGCGTGAATTTATTATTTTCACCATAAGTTTCTGTATTAAAACTTTGAATACTTTTTAATATTTCGATTGCTTCTTCAAACAAACCTTTACATACTAATAATTTGTTAATAGATGTCGTCATATTATGGAAGGTTTTTGAAAATTTTTTTATGTTAATGCGAAACATATAGATAAAATGGAAAACAAAATGGTTTCCGTAATCCATGTGATCGTTTACTTTATTCAATTCAAATTTAAAATAATTTTTGATTAAACTATGATACGTATTTGTAGTTGAATTTCTATTTTGAAAACATCTACACGTCAGCTGTGTCAGTTCGTGCATTGAATATTTTTCATCATCAAAACAGTTTAGTAAAGAATAACTCATTAGTAACCCAACGGCTTCATCTATTACATATTCTTCGTTTATTTCCATTTGTTTTGAAATTTGGATTATAAACTCTTTACTTATGTTTTTACCGTCGCAATGAGATAAACAGTTTAATAGTTTAAATGGAAAAGGTTTACTTATTTCTAATTTCATTAAAACTAAGTTAATTGCTTTAATTGCAGACTTTGGTTCTTCTTCGGTTTGAAAGTTATTGTCTATTATTTCTGATGGTTTTGATCTATATCGTTCTACGTATTTTTCTATCGAAATTCTCTGTATATTTATATATTTTATTGCCTGAGTAATAGCGAACGGATGATAACCAAGTTCTTTTATTAAGTTTTTTATGTTTTCATCGGCGTTTTCTTTAATATTATTTTTGACATAAGCGAATGCTTCTTCTGAAGTAAAAACATCGACTAGCATTTTATTTACATTATTCGACCACGTTCTCCATTGTGAGGTAATCAACGTAAATGAATCCGGTTTTTTTGAAATGTATATGGTCAGGTTTTTAACACTTTCATCGTCAACATTGTCAAAAATATACAAAGTCTTTTCATTTTTATAATAATTGTGAAGTTTTTCAACAATCACTTCCATATTTAAATATTCACCTTTCGAATCATGAACGTCGAATCCTAATATTTGGCATTGGTTTCTCATTGAGGTTTGTAACTTTCCAAATGCTGCGTCAATCCAAACAAAGTTTTTGTAGAAGTTATAATAAATTTTGCAAAACATTCTTGCTATTTGTGTCTTTCCAACACCCGACATTCCATATAATACTAAAGTTGACTTGTTTGCTACATAAAAAAAATGTTGAATTTCATGAAGTAGTTTTTCGCGTGAAAATAAATTTTCTGAAAAAGGTTGCACTCCTAAAAATGAAAGCATGGTTAGTTAAATTATAAAAACTTATCGTCTCAATTAAAATAAATGTAATATTTATTTTAATAAAAAGTTTCATTTTTTTACTAAATCTTTTCTATTTTTTTCAAACGCGACGCGTTATTATTGCATAGTTAGTCTAATTTTAAAAAATCTTAATATAAACAAATTATAAAATTTTACTACCTTTAAAAATATTTTTGAATTAAGTCTCAAGTGAGAGTATTTGTATTCATTTAGAAAACGTTTTTGTAAACAAAACTTAATTTACTTTGTAAATTTAACAATTTGAAATCAATTACTCTAGAGGATACAAACAAAAGTTTTAATTTAAATTTTACTAAATTTAAATTTTAAATGAGTTTTGAATGATTTTTTTTTAATTTAAATTTTAGTAAATTCTAAAAGAACTTAAAATTAAACGCGACGCTTTATTACTATTATTATTATTATTGTTATTATTTTTATTATCATTATTATTACTATTATTATTATTAACCAAAAGAACGTTTTTTTTTTAATTTGAATTTTACTAAATTTTAGTTTTAACTTAGTTTTGAAGCTTAAAACGTATGAAAATAAAAATAAAATTTTTTAAAGCCTGTGTTCTACCAGCCCGGATTACAAATGTTTAGATTTTCATAAAATTTCTATTTTATATTTGCTTGTTTATTTCATTACGATTTCTAAAACTTTGTATTAATTAGTTAATTAATAAATGAAATATTTAAATTAAGGAAAACTAACCAAAGTAGATATAATGATAGATTTAATTATCAGAAGAAAGATTGCTTGCTCTGGTTATGATATAAAATCTAAAAGTTAGTCCCCCTCAAACTTATAGTCAATATTTCTATAAAGCTGCAGCCAGAATACTCAAAAATGGTTTCTCGATTTATATTCTGATCATTGTTTATAATCATTTGGAAAGTGAAGTACAGATAACTAAGGCATTAGTATGATGTCTATTAGTTTCTACTCTGAGGCTTTAAAGATAGAAATTTGCAAATCTAAATTGAACTCTACAGCCAACATATCTAGATATTTTTTTTTTAGATGTATCTATTTCTTATTGTCATAAGTAATCATGTAACCAGTAAACATTTTCCGTTTTTTCGATGTTAAAATCAGTTAAAAGATGTAATAGTTACTTTCGGTTAAAAAGCCAAAGGAGACAAGAGATTTCTTTCCAAAGTTTGCCGAATGAATTTGTTTCATATGAAGCAATTCTTAAGTCAGTTTATTTTCAGTCACGTCACATGAATATTTATGTGATAAATGGGAGCAGACACTCTTGATCTCTGTTTTGAAGAGTTTGTAATATTCCCACTTATTTATTTATAATCACATAACCACTGTTGCTCAAGCAAATAACTCGGGGCCGGGGCCCCAAGCAATTAGCTTGGATGACTCACCGTCTGCACGGCTCTGTTTAAAACTTATCTGAACGTTGATAAAAAAATTGTTGTTAATTTTAAAAATAGATCTACACGTACGTGTATAATTTAGAGACAAAAATAAATATTAAAATCAAGAAAAAATTTCTTGAACGTCTGCGAGCAGTGAGTCCACCAATCACAGCATCAAAAATGTGATAAAAATCCGTTCCTCTATATATTGCCTTTTTTCCTGATTCTGTTTCTGTTGATTCCGTGATATGCTTATCATATTCATGTGGCTCTCCAGCAAAACAATTGCGCTTCTTTTTTTAGTTAACATTGTGCTCAAGCAAAATACTCGGGACCGAGGCCCAAAGCAATTAGCTCGGATGACTCGCCGCCTGCATGGCTCTGTTTAAATCTCATGTGAACGTTTATAAAAAAATTGTTGTTAATTTTAAAATTAGATCTACACGTACGTGTATAATTTAGAGAATGTAGAGAACAAACGTGTTCTCCACATTTTACACGTTAATTTGAACATTTTTTTATTGCTATGATAATTTTTCAACTATAGTTGAAAGTTAACTATTGTTACAAACGTTAACACAAGAACAACTTTTGAATGTTAGACATAAGACATTGTTTGCAGGGGTGATCAAAATTATAGCAAGTGTAGCATTTACTAGATTCAACATATTTCAATTTATAATTATTTTGGTTTTTGAATATACTTTAATGCAAA